GAGAGGGCCTTATGATGGCAGAATGATAACATCATTTTAAAGGGTTCTTACTAAAATGCAACTTAGAGCTAATTAAATGCTTTAATAATGAATTGAATTGAATTCACAGGCAAAAAGTATATGTTTGGGAGGGGGCTTTATGTAGAGAGCCGTACTAATTAGATAGATAATAACATTTATTTTTATGGAGCCAGGGAGGACGGAATGAGGAGGGGAGAGAAAAGTAATTTATAGAATTCACAAACCAGAAGTGAGCGTATTTGGAACATTTTTAAGCAGGTCATTCGAATTAAAGATAAGATATACTAGAATACCTGGTCAAAAAGGTGGATTATTGAAAAGTGGCAGTTTTATTGAGGGTAAGATCAAAGTATTATGTGAGCATTAATATTTGAAGGATGTAATAAGAAAAAAGGGTCCACACCCAAAAATATCATAGAGCCTATCAAACATTTCCAATAAGAACTGAAAAGCTGAATAGTCAGATAGTGTAAGTAAGATTATTTATTAAAGTGGAGAGTTCATTCATGAATAAAGTTTTTTATTTGTCTTTCAACAGAATGGAGAACCACAGAGAGTCACGCAAGCGACTACGACCATGGTTGGAGCGTATGATAAACAGCGGAGAATGTCCTGGACTAGTCTGGGAGAATAGAGAGGATAGAACTTTCAGAATTCCTTGGCGCCACTTCAACAACAAGGAATGGGTTGAAGAAGATTCTAAAATTTTCAGAGAGTGGGCCAAATACACAGGAAAATATCAAGATGGTGACAAGGTTGAATATCCAGTTTGGAAAACACGACTCCGATGTGCTTTGAAAAAAATTCCTGAAATAAAAGAGATTCCTGACATGCACAGAATTGAAGACGCTAATCCTTACAGAGTGTATAAATTTGTTGATGTGCCTCTAATGAAAAGACCATGTGAGTTTGATACAGATTCTTGTCACAGCCAAAGTAGCAATATGTCACATCATATTATTGATGACCAACCCAGCCCATCACCTCCAAATTTTCTAGATTCCAGTTATATTGCAGCAGAGAAACCAGCTAATGTGCCAACTGTGGTGTTTGATGAAGATGTTTATAGACTCCAGACAAAGAAAGAGTCACCACCAGACTTTTTATATTATGAAGACAACAAAGACCACATAGTATCAACTGTGATGCAGAATTTCTGTGAGAAGTCATATCAGCCTGTATCTCACCTCAACTTTGAGGGGCCACCAATTCTGGAAGAGAATGTTTTGCAGAGCAGTGAGCCAATGACAAGCTTGCCATCTGATTTGAAATCTGTGAACACAGATGACCTTTGCCTGCTGGCAAACATGGAGCTGCCTAACTCAATGACCAGCATAACCAACACCAGCAATTTAAGCATGGAAGTTCCAAACGTGGGGACCGGTGCCATTGTCAATACACCAGCTACCTCCACTTGTATGCATGTTTTAGTTTACTATGGCGCTCCAAGTGTTCAGGTGACAGCCCATACAATTCCAGGGGTTGGCTGCAGATTTTTTTCTCCAAATTTTGGGCCTGTAAGTGTAAATGATAGCAGAATAGAGGAAACCCTTTTCGGACCAAAGAATGTGTACCAAATTGCTCTTCCCAGTCCAGAGCAGTACCTGAATGACAATAATTGCTATCAAGAGCAGAAGCCTCTGATCTCTGATCTTCTTGAGAAGATGGAAAGGGGTGTGGTTCTCACAAATATTGACTCTGATATTTACGTCCAGCGCTTATGCCGAACTAGGGTCTTCCTAACTGATGGTGCCTCTGAAAGTATGCAGCTGGATAGGAAGGGTAGCACTGTCACAAAAGCCTTTGATTTTAAACAGTTTTTGAGAGAGTATGAAGAGTACAGACATGGTCTGAAAAAAGATTTGCCCAAGCCATTCTTTATGCTAACATTGGGACAAGAAATAAAGAAATCACATTATAATCCAATGGGGAACATTCTGATCCATGTTGTTGTAAAACACGACCTAGCCACCAAGATCATAGCCCAAGATCCCAATGCCAATAATTCTTCTTCAGGTGTTTTTTACTCCTATGATTCCTATGATAAATTTCTGGAAGAGGTTAAAAAAGTCCAAATTGTATAATATTTAACTGTTACAAGCTGTATTCCTGTTTGTTAATTTACATTTCTGTAATTATTATAATTGACAATTATATATCATAATTAAAAAATTGTATATAAATTTGAACTATATGCAACTTTATAGGATATGCACTCACAAATTGTCTTAACATTTTTTATTGTAGGTGATTGGCATCAAATAATGATATAAATACTCACCTTTCTTTCCCTAACACATCCTTATTATAGAAATAATATACAACGAAAATGCATTTACATTTAAAAGTTCTGTACAAATAGAATTTTATATATTTATTGGCATTTTGTTTTGTTTTTCCCCCCAAAAAAAATGCTTAACATTGACTTTTTATGGCTAATACTTTCTTTTTTTTAATGCATCAGTCTAACCTGATCTAATTTTATATAATATGTTTTACTTTTTAGCGGCCACAGAAAGGGGAAAAGACACTATTAGTTTTGTGTGAAATGTCTATCCGCCTGTCCTTCCATCCCGTTTAGATCTCGTAAACTAGAAAATATAGTGAAAATCCGACATCAGGCTACTTCTTTCTTTTCTTAGGACTGTTTTCCAAATTTTTAACACATTTATGCAAATGGTTGTAGATTTTTTGTCAAAAAATTTGTTTTTATATTTGTATTGTTAAGTTATGTAAGTTCTGTTATACCAAGTACTATATTTACACACGAACAAATGTTTACTATTTTTTTAAAGAGAAAAAATCTATTTAGTATGCATTATAAGTTAGAAATAATTAAAAACGAATAGTAATCTTGTAAACTGCATTTTCTTGTTTTTTTTTACAGAAATGTTTTTTTTCTTGAGAATTTGAATAAGAGATTGAGCCTTTTCAAAACAATTACATCTTTTACAAGACATCAGTTAGGTCAGGGGAGGCGCGGTGGCTGAGCGGTTAAGTGCTTGGCTTCTGAACCTGGGGGCCATGGTTCGGATCCTGGTGAAGACTGGGATTTTCAACTTCGGAATCCTTGGGCGCCTCTGAGTCCACCCAGCTCTAATGGGTACCTGACATTAGTTGGGGAAAAGTAAAGGCGGTTGGTTGTTGTGCTGGCTACATGACATCCTCGTTAACCGTAGGCCACAAAAACAGATGAACTATACATTATCTGCCCTATAGACCACGAGGTCTGAAAGGGGAACTAGTTAGGCCAGGTTCACAGCTAACTTTACATTCACTTTCACCATATTCTTTGATCTGCTGGACCGTTGGGGCACCACACAAGATCTGTCAACTTCTTTCTCCATTCTTATCTGTCATTTGTCTTTGATATAATTTCATTCTAATGTTCTTTCTGGAAATATTGAAGCCTGAAGAATTTTGAGTTTACATTTCCATACAAACTGTCTTTGTAACCTTGTTATATTTTATTTTGGCATTTTTCGATCAAACGATAATGGAAGATGAATGAAAAGCCAATAAATAAAAGAAGTGTATGTTATGATCAGTTAAAAAATATGATTCATGAAGAACAGCATGCTTTTTATCAGCTTAATTTTTTAAAGGGAGGGGAAGGGTAGAGTAATGCTAATATCATCAGAGGAGCTTTTACTTAGCAAAATAATTACTCTCACCTCATATCTATAATTTATGGCATAAAAAATGGTAATCAAAATTTATATATAGGCTTTAAAAAGTAAAGTAAAGTACTCCTTTTAGATTTTTCAATCTATTGAGCAGATGATGCACTTACCACTCAGCCACCATGCCCCATAATATATAGGCTAGAGATTATATAATATTGATTTTTAAAGCACATTCTATTGTAGTATTGTGCAAATATTTTTAATTTTTTTTTGCTATCAGGATATCAACTTTTATTTTTGTATTGCATTTTTTTTGTTTTGTATTATTTTGTATGAAATACTAAAGATTTATTTTTTTATGAAATGGCTATATTTTCAAATGTAAACTTCAAATATAACAGGTGAGCTCTCAGAACTAAAAAGTATTACTTTCTCTTTATTTTTTTGTAATATCCTTCTATTGAAAAAAAAAATCATGGTTACCTATATACATTTTTAAAATTAAAAAATTTTTTTTTTCAGTATCACTATTTGCAATGTAGGTAAATTAATTTAATTTTAAAAAATTCAATATGGTAAATTAAAATTCTTTTTTTGCTTGTGAATTCATCTGTTTTTCTTACATTGGATATATATATAATTATATATGTTTCATATTGTGAACAAGGCAAATGAAAAATAATTTATCAAATGTAATAAATTTGACCATAAAGAAATTATATAATAGTTGTCAATCATTTTAAGTTTTTGAATTATTCTTTTAAAAATATATTACCATTTTCGTTTTGTAGAAATTTTGCTTCATGTATTAAATTTGTAACCTCAACTTGGAGAATGTGAAATTATTTAAAATCTATTTATTTTAGTTTTGAGTATGTTAGACATCAAAGTTGTCAGTGCTAAGGGTGAACTAATCTAAATGCATTAATATAAATATCGAACTTGTCATTTGCTACACAAATGCGTAAAAAAAAACTCCATGAGGGCTTAAGAGGCTCTTGCAAAAGCCCTGGACAGAAACCTTGTTGTTCTAAGTAGTGCATGCATGTCACCATACAGGTCAAGAACTTTTGGTTTTCCAGACCTATCGAGACGGAGATCAGCAAGTCTGGGGCAGTCAAAAAGAATATGAGACATGGTTTTCTCTTCTTCCCCGCAGCGGAGGCACCGTGAGTCAAAATTTGGCCATAGCCGTAAGAAATGTGAGCCAACGGGACAGTGGCCTGTCCTGCACTGTGCTATAATAGCTTGCTCAGGCCTGAACAGCCTCCACTACGTGGAAATGCAGTCAGGGCGCCTCATGCGCTCCCTGATTCCACGGCTTTTTGGGACTTGTTCCAGCACTCAAACCACTTTTCCATTTCTATTTTTTGGATTATAACAAGAGCATTATGAAATTCACAGCCTGCTCTGTGGTTGGTGTTTGCCCTTCCTGGTGGGCCAAGGAATCTGTAATGGTGTCAGTCACACCTATGTAAAAAGGTCACGCTTACGTGATAAAGATTTAGATGGGACACCAAAAGCAATTGAATGTATGTTTTTACTAGCCTTTGGACAGTTCGTTGATTCTTTTCTTGGATTAAACAAAATTGTTTGGATTTAATATATCAGTTTGATGTCTCTTTAAGTTTATATGTAGACTAGAAGTCCAACCTTGTATGTTTATGAAAAGCAAATGTTAGGTCACTAACTCTGAAAGACACAAAGATAAAGGCACATTCCTCGTCCCAAATGCTAGGACAAATTTGTACAAATACTCCTTCTTCCCTAGTGCTATTAGAGCATGGAATGGGTTGCCTGAGCTAGCCAGGAAAACCAGTGACTTGGCAGAATTTAAGTCATTGGTTAATATGCATGACTAAATGCATGACGCGTAGGATGTAATCATCTTTTTTGAAGTAATGTCTGTATTATATAAGATAAGATAACAAGCTTCATGTCCTACCTAAAACATGTTCACATTTAAATTTGCGAGTTTATTTTCCTGTTTTGCTTTAGTGCAGAACGTACGAAAATACAAGCTAGTCGAAAAATCATTAATTAGAATTAGAATTGTCTTACATTTACAATACTAACAGCTGACCTTAGGGAACTCACCTTCATCTGGATTCCCTCCCATGTGGACATAGAGGGAAACGAAAAGGCAGACATAGAAGTAAAGAGAGCCCTAAATCAAGCGGAGACAGGAACCCAAATTCCCTGCTCGGACCTGAGACAGAGTATTTCCTCTGCCACCTATCGCGAGGGACAGGATCGGTGGGAGGCTGAGACCCACAACAAACTCAGACAGATGGTGGCGGCCCATATCTAAGGGTCTGACAAGGCGTGGAAGCACGACTATGTCTAGACTTAGGATTGGCCACACCTACATCACGCACTCCTTTGTGCTCAAGAGAGAGAAGCCCCCACTGTCTCACCATGAAACATACCCTTATTGATTGCCCCAAATTCCTGGATATAAAGGGGGGGGGGATATTTTAGAGCACATAACTTAAAAAATTAAAAAAACAAACACTTTGATAATGTCGACCCTGGGAAGGTACTGGCCTTTGTCCGGAAGGCGAGTTGGTCTGCAAAGGTTTGATTTGTTATAGTACAAAGAAATTGTGAACATATATTTACTTCTTGTAATATGAAGGGAGATTGATCTTTGAAGGATTACGGGAACGATATGGTCTAAATTGTGCCGATGTGCCAAATATACAAAATACATATATTTACAATGCCAATCCAAAAGCTCAACTTGTTAAGATTGCAATACATTCTAGTAATTAGGGATTGTATTTCATCACAAATCTGCATCGCACTTATGTGTACATCACGATGGTTCTAATGCTAAGCAACAGGGATAATAGTTAAGTGTGAACTAAGCCCAAAGGAGTCAGAGAGTAGTTGATAAGTAATAACTCATTCGCCACATCTAGTGACGTTTGTTCCACTATACCTAGCTAAAAATGATTTACGCTTGTGCTTAAAAGAGCATTTGAATAATATGGCATGGCCTAATGGAATCAGAGTGGCATTCAACATTGTTGAATTGTTGCTGAGGTATTCTTTTGTAAATTATTTTGAATAACTAATCCACACTTATCAAAATTCATAATCGGATTGAACACTTCCTTTCAGGAAATAGATTTTTAAACATAAAAAATTAGAGCCTACTATTGTATTTGTTAGCAGTTTTTATATGAGCAGAAACAAAGATATTGTTATAAACCTGGTGGTGGCACGGATAGGGGTGGTGGTGTGTGTGTAGTCAGCCGACGCAAGTCGCCCCAGGCCAGCGCTAGACGAGCGGTCAACCGTGACGAGCTACGACGGTCAGCCGAGTCGAGTGTCAACAGGAGGTTTGGGAAGGATCGCCGTCGTGAACAGAGTTCAGGAGCGTCACGTGAGTTGTAGTCATCTGACCACCTAGAAACGTCGAGTGGCGTTCTGCCCAGTTCGAGAAGGCCAGTAGGGACCCTATATAAGAGCGGAGGTGGCGCAGTCAAGACTGTTCAGAGCCCGGTTCACTACAGTCCGGTCGACTATAGCACAGTTCAGCGGTGTGGTTCTGTACGGAGCATTACGAGGTTCAGTGCGCAGTACTGTCAAGTACAGTTGAGACGACTGGCGTCTTGATCTTGGTCTGCGATCGAGTCCGACACAACTAGCCTAGTGTGTGAAGTCGGTCCTGAACTGTTGAACCCAGCGCAAGCCCGAGACGGAGAGGCCAGTGCAAAAGTTGGTACGGTGTTATCGGAGAGATATTTGTACAGTCTTGTGTTAGTGCTGCCAATTGTACAGTATTGGCTCAGATCTATTCAACTATTAAAGTTTTACGTTACTTTGGAGCCCTGAGTTGTCAAGTTCTTTAAGTTGGTGGTGTATGGTGCAGTTTGCAGAGAGCTTGGATAGTGAGATTCGTAACAATATATTTAATATTAATTTTAAAAACAACAGAATTAAATTTTATACATTAAGAAACGTTTATTGCCAATAACATAACCACACACAAACAAATCAAATTTTATCAAAAGCTAACTAGGTTGCTATCCCAAAATTCAAAATATTACAGCATAACATAATAGATCAATCTATACTAATAAAAGGCAAAGCCCTGACTCACTGACTCATCACTAATTCTGCAACTTCCCGTGTAGGTACAAGGGTGAAATTTGGCAGGCGCATTCCCTACAGCTTACTTACAAAAGTGCAGCAGGTTTCGTTTCCCAATCGTACGCGTAACGGTCGACAACGTCCGCCATGTTGAACGTTCGTATTTATGGAGCCATCTTCACGAAACTTGGTACGCGGCTTCCCTGCGCTAACCGAAACCGATGTACGTACTTATTTAACGGTCGACAACGTCCGCCATGTTGAACTTTCGTATTTATGGAGCCATCTTCACGAAACTTGGTACCCGGCTTCCCTGCTTATTTTAGTGTTTTTATACGTAGGAGGGCAAAAATGTGGGAGGCTCATTCTTAATTTTCTGTCGACGATTGTTACTGGCTTCGCTTCTTGGTACGGCGGTTTACTCTTTTCGCTTGGCTTTTGTTGTATCTTCGTTACAAGGGACGGCGTCACCTTTCTGTGTGCGCATCGAGGTCTTCTTTGTAGTCTGCTACAGCAAGGTAGCGTCCACGATTGGCGTTGTTATATCCCGACTCATTCATTCGACTGCTGGTATTTTACACTCACGTTTCATTTATCGCTCCAAGCGTACCCCCACTGAACATGTCTCTCGAGATGGTCACCATCGATCAAAGGACTGTGGCTTACCGGGTGGTTTCCATGCCCCCTGATGGATCCTGCCTTTTCCATTCTCTGTGCTACACATTGCACGGCCACATCAGACTCACTGCTGATGTCCAAAGGGACATTGTGTTGTATGTGCTCAACAACTGGGTCAGGTTCAAGGTGTGGACAGATGATGGTACGGGAGACAATTACACAACACAGGAGCACTATCACAGTGAAATGCTTAAGCCCTCAACTTATGGTTCTGCCTGTGAGTTGATGGCTGCCTCTGAGTTGTTTTCTTGCCGTTTTCAAGTATATTGAAATGGCCAAATATTCTACACCTTCGGACAACCGCCAATGCCTCTCAAACATCTTCGATTCTCAGGTGACAATTTGAGCAGTGGACATTTTGATGTCTACGAGTGTTTAAACTCTCAAAACCTGGATGAGAAGTTGTCGATGACACCGGTTGTGACCAGGCAGTCTTTGCAATACAAAATCCAGATGACGAGGTCTCTCGGTACGAAGCTGGTCGTTACATCAGCAGCTCTGAAGCAGCGTGGCGCATTTTCTGCTTTCCCATTCACGAACGCTACCCTCCGGTCGTTCATCTTGTAGTGCATCTCGAGAACGGACAGAGAATTTATTTCACAGAGGGCAATGTTGCAGAAAAAGTACACAATCCACCACAGACGACTCTGTTAGCCTTCTTTGATCTTTACAACCATGATGACTTTGCAAAGGAGCTTTATTATCACGAAGTTCCATCTTATTATGTGTGGACAAGAAACATGTTTCGTCGGAGGAAGCAGGGGAAGGCTGTGCCAGGACATTCGGGGGTGAAGAAAGATAATGTGCTTGGAAGGGTCTACACTGTGCACCCGAACAACTCTGAATGTTACCACCTTCGATTGCTGCTCTACAAAATCATAGGTCCCACCTCTTTCGAATCTCTCAGAACAGTTGACGGTGTTGTCCATCCAACCTACAAGTCGGCCTGCAGGGCACTTGGTTTGTTACAGGACGATGTCAACTGGGACGAGACTCTCCAGGAAGCTGCTCTGTCTCGCTCACCTCAAAAGATCCGTGAACTGTTCGCTATAATGCTGGTCTTCTGCCAAATGGAGAACCCCTTAAATCTCTGGTAAAAACATAGAGACAGCATGGCAGAAGATGTTAGGAGACAGACTGAAAGAGATCATGGAGGAACAGAAGTCCAACAGTGGTTGCCTATGATCTACAACAAGTGCCTTCAGTTGCTTGAGAACTACGTCATTGCTATCGGAGGTCTCTCTGTCGATCATTACGGGCTGCCTTCACCTTCGAGAGAACTGGCAGAGGTTACGTCGAATCCCGAGTACTTGAGGGAAACCTCTTACGACACCTCGGAGTTGGCCAATGTAGTCTCAAACAACGAGCCTTTGCTGAATGGTGACCAAAAGAGAGTTTACGAGCAAGTCATGAGGAGCGTTGTCTCGGGCACTGGCACGGTGTTTTTTCTTGATGCTCCAGGAGGAACTGGCAAGACATTCCTCATAAACCTTCTGCTTGCGAAAGTCCGAGCGGAAGGTGACATTGCTGTAGCTGTGGCTTCTTCTGGCATTGCAGCAACTCTTCTTCAGGGTGGGAGAACTGCTCATTCAGCTTTCAAGCTACCTCTCAACCTCAGCCACACCACTGATTCGCCCTCCACGTGCAACATATCAAAGCAGAGCAACATGGCTGAAGTGCTAAGACAGTGCAAGCTGATTGTCTGGGATGAGTCCACCATGGCACACAGAGGGGGTGTCGAGGCTTTGGACAGGACCCTCCAAGACATCCGAAACACCACCACACGTATGGGAGGCTTGACAGTGTTGCTGGCTGGAGACTT